TATTGGAGGAGGGTTTTCCGTTGGAGTTTGCATTGTGCTGTAAGTCAGTTGATATATATATATATATATATATATATATATATATATATATATATATATATATATATATATATATATATGCTACGTGTGTTATACTGTTAGTGTGCTTTAAGTATGTGTGTTACTTTTGTGATCGGGGTGGGGGTGGAAGAATGGTAGGTAAGTTTTATTTTTTCTTTTGTTTATTTGGGGATGGCAATCTCTTTTCTCTGCACAAGTTTTTAGGGAGGTTTTTTTCATTGTATGGGGTGAGCAATTGCTTATCTGTTTTAGTGACTTTCCCCTCGGTAGCCGCTGCTTCCCTTGCTCTGTACAATTAACTTGTTTTCTTTCTCTTCTTTTTATGTTACTAATATCTTCATTTCTGTTGTTATTCCTGCTCCTGATTTTTTTTTATGTCTGCTGCTGCTCTGTTCCTTGTCCAGCTGTGGTGTTCTTTTCTTGCTTTACATTAATTGTTCTTACTTCTCTTCCTGTTACAGATGTTCCTTTGGTGTGCCTTTTTCTTTCCCTGTGGTATCGTAGACTTCTATTAGTGTGTGACTTTGCTGCCCCTAGTGTTTCTTCGTTCGTGGCTCTCGGTCACCATACTACCCATTACCTGACGTATCTTTTGGCTAAAGGACTTCTGAAGTTTATTGTTTATTTTTGTCCCTAATTTGACATAAATGATTAAAATATTTTTCTCCCCTTCTTTCCTCGACTTTCCTTATCTGGGTGGGTGATATTTACAGTTATCCGTGGCTGTATTTTTTGCCTACCATGGACTAATGTTGGTGTTATTACTGTGTTATTATATATTAAGACCCCCCTCTCCTGTTTTGCTAGAGTTGTTGCTATAAAGCTGTGTCTTTGATCACTTATACTGTTTGTTTGTCGTAGCTGGGGAAGGGGAGGGTGGGAGAAAATTAAACTGGTTCGATGCTTTTGGGAAGACTATTACATTTTGTTGCTTTCTTTTTTTGTTCTCCGCCACTGTTATAGTTCAAGTCGTTGCTATAGAGCTGGGTGTCCTTCAACGACTCCGACCCTTTTCATGCCGTGGTTGTCGGTTATTATTATTATTGTTATTATTATTATTATTATTATTATTATTATTATTATTATTATTATTATTATTATTATTATTATTATTAAGATATGTATTGTTTATATTTCAGGTTTGCCCTCTTATTTCATAGGTTATTTATGTCTTCTACGGTGTTGTTGTATGGTCTCCCTAGGTTTTTGTTTCTGGCCTCTAGTTCCGGATACGCGCTAATTAGTTCCTCTGTTTTTCTGCTTGGTTTGAAGCTCTGCCCTTTGTATGTCGTAGTGAGGGCAGTTATGTATCATCACATGTTCGAGTGTCCTCTTGAGTTGGGCAGTGGGTACAGTTTGTGTTTGTGAGTCCTTTTGTGTTTTGTCCTGCACATCATGTTAATATGATTCTACCTGTCCTTATCCTTTTTTAATAACTGAATCGTATGGATTTTTGAAAGTCGAGTACTTTCTGTTTCTAATTGCTTTCTTTTCTCTATTGTGCGATTGTTTACTTATGGACGACTTGTTCCATTATTCTTGCCATATTGCGTTTATTTTATTTTGGATTATGATATTTATCTTTGTGATGCTGTAATGAGGAGTTCTTCGACCTATCTGATACAAATAATGACAGATGTTTCAATCTCATAAGACATATCGGTGTATTGACCAAAATGTACCGGATGCACTTTCTAATAAGTCGAGTCCAGCTGCAAACTGTACATACCCAGATCTGGGTCTATGAAAACTATACAGACCCGGCTCTGGGTCTTTGAAAACTGTACAGACCACCCATATCTGGATCTACGAAAACTGTACAGACCCAGATGTGGGTCTATGAAAACTGGACAGACCCGGCTCTGTGTCTTTGAAAAGTGTACAGACCACCCATATCTGGATCTACGAAAACTGTACAGACCCAAATGTGGGTCTATGAAAACTGTACAGACCCATATTTGGGTCTATGAAGTTTCTTAGGATTAATCAACACAACAAACAGCATTAACCCTAATCTCCCTGCGACTGCAGGTGTATATTTTTTCTTTTGCAGTTGGACTTCACTTGTAACCGAGTACAGGAGATAGCTTTATCAGATTTTCATTTGTAAATATAGAACGGACACGTTTTTTTACATGTGCATATCTGCTTGCGTCGTGACTATAATCAATCAGATGTTAATTTACATCACGACCAATATCGACCCTAAATCTTTACAGTTGACATTTCCGGAGATGACAAAAGAAAAATGATGAACTGATTGAATCATGTTCTTAATCTATGAAACTTGATACATATAAAGAGATGCCATTTTGAGTTGGACAACTAAACTCTGTTTCGCGCTGGCACTTGTTTTTCGTCCATAGGCCTAATTATCTGATTGTAGTCTGGTTCAATAGTTCTAGTGACAAAGTTGGTTCAGGATGACTACCACCGACTTCCTTTAAAAAAAAAGTAACTTTACGCCGCCTATCAGATAACGATTTTGAGTTATTCTGATATTTTCTCAGAAAAAGTACGTAACCACACACACCCATACATGCATATTTAAGAATAAATCAATGCAAATTTCCCGCAATTCGCCATCGCACCCATTATTATGGTTTTATTATTTGGTCATCATGCACTGCTGAAAATCTCCATTCACCTTTTCTCGTCACAGCATTTTGCAATGAGAGAGAGAGAGAGAGAGAGAGAGAGAGAGAGAGAGAGAGAGAGAGAGAGAGAGAGAGAGAGAGAGAGAGAGAGAGAGAGAGAGAGAGAGAGAGAGAGAGAGAGAGAGATTGGTGGCCATTTATATTTTTTATATTTTCCGTTCTTATTTTAGGCATTCATTTTAAGGATGGAAATCGTGAAATTTTAACATTTCGCTATAATAATTGTCTAACTACCATCTTAACACCGCCAGATCATCTTATCTGGATGGTTTATTGCTGACACGTATGAAATATAACACTTGTAAAGTTACTCATGGCATGTAATGTGTTCGACAGAAATAAACCATACATTAGAAGATTATAAATTTTATTTAATAGGGCTCTTACGCATTTTACATATTATCTCTGCACCATTTACTGTCTCCAGGTTCCGGCTTCACAAAAATCCTCCCCAAACTAACATCTTTCATTATTTTGCTTTGGATACTTCAGATAATATCAATGTTTTTGTCAGAGGTACAGACAGTGAAAAGAACGCAAAATCAAGTTAAAATTTTGAAATTTGACACATAGAGAATGTATTTTTGTTTTTGAACAAAGAGCTGATGATATGCTTCAATCTGAGGAAAACTTTAAATAATCTCATATATAAAGCACTTCTTTTAGAAAAAATTTTATGGATAAATTTGAATCTCTGATGCCTGCAGAACATTCATTAAAAAAGAACGTGTTAACAACAAATTAAGGGATGATTAGTGAAACTGTGACATACATCGTAGGACAAACAAAATTCATAGATGTAATCTGGCAAAATGTTATATTTCCTTCTTTTTGAAACTATTTATTAGTTCGTTATTAATATCAAAGGTCGAATTAGGAGATGCCTACTACCAAATTTGTGTTATGACACGAAAGATTCGACTTTGTGGATAATTTTGCAGTACATTATATTGTGGCCTGTGTGACACGTAACATTTAAGTTTGACTTATGGGCTAGACTCGCAATGCATTGCTAATTGTGAGGCATGGGATCTGCTATGTTTGCATGACTTGAATGTTAGAGCGCGTTCGATAACTAAAGACAAATGGAAGAGGCCAAAGGTAACGTAAGGTCAGTAAGTGACAGAGTTGATGCAAGCCATTTGAAACATTGGTCATAAAATGGCATTCCCAGAATGGAGATTAAAAAGTACGGTACAAAGAGAGTTATTCTGACTTGATGGGAGTGTTACAATTTTTGGTGATCAGAGGAAATAATCAGGATTGCCTAAGCTAAATGAGGGTGTGTGCATTCCCAGACGAAATTCAAGGTTTTAAGAAATTTCCGTCGCGAAAATAGTAAAAGTTCTGGTTGAAGACACAATTTAGCTCCCAGAAAAAGTAAAAAGTAACTCTAGAAAAAATTTAAGAGACTCAGAAAAGACAGAGGGAATAATTTTCTGATGATAAGCGAGCGATGGGCTCGGACAGGCACAAAAGTGTTGTCTCGATTGCACACTATATGGTCATTGATGTAAGTTTGTAATTATTTGCTGAATTATTCGTTTTAAATTCATGCTTCATGTTTCCTTATTTCAAAAGTTTATTGTTTGCATGCACATTGTCTCCAATGTTATATGACTATTGGATTAAATGAATTTGTTCGAATTAATTGGATTAAATGAATTTGTTCGAATGTAATAGAAATCATGTATTATAGGAATTCCATGCATTACTCTGATACTAGTTGTGAGAATTAATTTATGTCTTAAATGATATATCACGTATGCTAAAAATTGATTTTACTTTTTATATGTCAATGAATCGCTAATTAGCAAAGTAAACATAGTTTCGACCAGGGTGAAGTCCATAGATTAATCACCCCGGGATAAATCCCCCTTAGACACACACACACACACACACACACACACACACACAGAGTATATTAAAAGATAGGACATAATCATCATTCCCTAAGTTGTTGGGTTTTATTTTAGAAAAAAAAACTTTTATAACCTTACAAATATACATCTATACTGGTAACTTGTTTTCGGTATATCTAGTGATGTGTGATATGATTATGATTTTAACGTAGCTTTAACAATTTTTCAGTCATATCGCTACGATGTCTGCAGTGTGACAGTATATAGTGATGTCTAGCACTGGGACATCATGCCACAGACACGTAGCATAATGTCCCATCCAGTTACATTATCCTGACACCATGCTGACCAGTCCTAACACTAGCCTATTAATGTTGAGCGCCAAGCGAGGAAGCTGTTAGTACCATTTTTTGTAAGTCTTTGGTATGACTCGACTGTGGGAGCGAACCCACGACCTCTCGCATCCGAGACGGACGCTCTAACCACTAGGCTACCGTAGCGGTTTTCTCATTCTAGACTCGGAAGTCAGATTAAAGGATTTTGGTACTTGCCTTTTTAGAAACGAGTTTTGTTGACAAAATAAGAAATGTGGCGTATCGTGAATATGCCTCATATTTCATTATCCAACAAAATTATGGCTTAGCTTTTAAGTACCTCTCAAAATTTAATCATAATGGTCAAATACAGTAAACTCGGTAATTATTTCATCTTTATTCTAGTAATGCTCTATTTCCAACGGATGCAACGGAGTTAGGACGATTAAAATGGGAGTTCGTGTTCCTCCGACAAAGTCAAAAAGTCTTAGCGCCGATTTTTCTAAATACGGTATAAGATTTTTTTAAAACGGGTGTTAAAGCATAGCAGCAGAATTTACTGCGACGGATTAACAGTATGAAAATGATCCTATTGAATGCCAGGTGACAAAGCATATGCAATTAGTCTTAAGATCAAAATGATCCTTGGGCATCTTATTCTCATTGTCTGGTTAAGACCTTAATCCGCATTCTATCCGTGTTTTATGTACTAAAGGAAAGCGGATACAAAACTTCAAAAGACCCAAGCCGACATACAAAAATGTATATTGGTAATGGATTCAAACGTCATAAATGTGTTACACCTAGCCTTCTGGAGGGGATTATGTCCTATCGTTTAATTTCCGTTCGAGGAGGGGGGGGAATAGTCGGGGAGTGGGGCGGATTTGTGCCTGATTTATTAATCCCCTTCTACATTCTATTTATCCCCATTTTATGTGATAGTGTGCTTTTATGTAAAATTAAAGTGTGTAAAAAAAAACACTTCTACCCATGCCTGATGTTTGTATATATGTAAGTATAGCGTGTGTATATTGACAGTTCTGACCTTTTGGTTGGATAGTAGGGTATGTGTTGGATTTTAATCTAAAAGCGGGTGCTGGAAAGAAGTCTATCTGCTGGACTGTAATCAAGAAATAAGTGCTGGATAGTAACAGTAGTAGTAGTAGTAGTAGTAGTAGTAGTAGTAGTAGTAGTAGAGAGGGAGAGAAAGTGTGTGTGTTGAATGAAAACACGAGTGTTGGATAGTAGTTTTATGTTAGATAGTATCTAACAAATTCTAACATTACCATTCCATTAGACCTCTATTTGTATTTATGCAATTATAGCGTCTGTATAAACACTCCTACCCTTGTGTGATGGTATATTCGTATGGTTAAATTGCATCTATACACACCCCTACTCTCGTGTGATAGCTTATTTGTATTTATATCAGTATAATATGTGTATAAACACTCCTACCAATTTCGTTGGATACTAGGGGTATGTGCCAGATATTATCAAAATGCGGGTGATGGATTGTGCATCTACACATATTGACATTACATTTCTCGTATACCTATATACCCACCCACCCCATCTGTGCATGTTTAGTGTGTCTATGGACACTTTTAACCTTATGTAACAGTATGTTTGTGTGAGAATGTGTTTATCCTCCCTTCTTTTACATTTAATCCCTCTCATATGTGGCAGTATGTTTGTATGTATTTATCTAATTATGCAGTGTATATCAACACTCTACCCTTCTTTAGAGACTAAGGGTGTGTGCTGGATACTGTACCAAAAAGCGGATGCAGGATAATCGGGGTTGTGCGTTGGATTGTCCCGCACTGCGTATGTGTATGTGTAATGTGACCCTCAACAAACCTACTCTTGTGCCACTAGGACAAATCCGAGCTATTAATGTCATATGTTGGGCTCTAACACATTTCAGCATAACATCCACGATATCTTACATTTCTTTTCAGTGTATGAGACGTACGCTCTCGCAAACAATATTATACAGGGAAAACACTATTTTGTTTGCTTAATTTAATCTTCATTTTTCTTTCATATTAAATATTTTTTGCTACATACGTTGAGTAACAGACTAATTGTGGGTTGTTACTTGTATACGTAAATACACCCAAACCCTTCGTCGTATGGAATATGAATTTGATAAAATGCTAATTTTATGAAAGAATTTCCTGTTTTGCTTTCAAGCGTCATTTACTGTCAGCCGCCGTAATTTTCAGTTAACTCGAACAATGTTACCATGTAAATACAACTTAATGCGAACCACTTCTAACAACGTTACCATATAAATCCAAACGCAAAGACAACTTTAAATTATTTGTAATACTTTGTTGTCTTGAACTTAAAAGGCGTGTATGTGCGTGCGCGCGCGCGTGCGTTTGTGTGATCTAGATTTTTAACGTAACTTAAAAAAAAATTTCAGTCATATCGCTAAGATGTCTGCAGTATGACAATTTATAGTGATGTCCAGCACTGGGGCATAATCCCGCATATATGTAGCATGATATCAAACCCAGTCACATTATCCCGACACTAGACCGACCAGTCCTAAAACTAACTAGTCCGATAAATTCACCCACCTCACCCCAAAGTGTATTTATACTGATGGACTATATGTGGGTCTGATGTGACCTGTTCATTAAAATGTGCAATTTTACTGCATGATCATTTTTCTGAAACAAACCTGCGTACACTTTAGACACATACCAGTAATTGGTAACAGCCATCTCAAGCGCGAAATTGAAAATGGCCACAAGACAAATAGTTGTGCTAATTACAGGTTGTTTTACAAGTCACCAAACTTATGGTTTGCTCCGGAAATATAATGTACATATCACCGAAAGAACCCTTCAGCCGGTAGCTGCACAACCACGAGAAATACCGGTAAGTGTATAAAATGTACGCCGATGTGTGCAGCCAGGTTTGAATGCAGATAATTGCAGCTTTTTATAAATAGGTGATATCAGCCCCTCACACGAAAATTAATATCATCACGGGTGAATGACTGATTTATCGGCCTAAACACTACCCTTAATGCTGAGCACCAAGCAAGGCATCTATTAATACCATTTTTAAAAGCCTTTGGTACGTATCGGCCGAGGTTCCAATTCGCGACCTCCGGCATCCGGGGCGGACGCTCTTATCACTAGACCACAAGATATTTTGAACTTAAAAGAAAAAAGAAAGAAAAGAATTCATATTGAAACCGTGAGATATATTTGTCGCTAAAGTTTATAACAGCATATCCCGTGAAATTTCAGTGGTTCATAATTTTCTTTGTGTGGAGAACATAAATGATACAAAACATATGAGATTTGTGGGACCGGATTTTCTAGTGGCAGAATCGGGAGGAAATAACTAATTTAAGTTTCCAGTTCTGATCTAATGGTGCGTAAGAACAAACATAATCTGAGCCCAAGTCTCGATTGCTAAACAATTAACCGCATCCCTGCTTGCATGCCGTTTTCGCTCGTGGTGTATGATTCATACATGCACGCTGTACCTAGTGCACTTTGGATATCATTAATGAGGTACAAGGGAGACACGGGAGTACCGGGGTGTAATTTGTCACCTTACCACTTGCGTAAATAGAAAATGTTAAATAGAAAATGTTATCTTTTATTCCGTCCGGAAACCCGTCTATTCACTGGCCCATGTAATAATTGGTTTTAAGAAGTACTAAAGCGTACAAGGTCAATGAAACCTACCACCACATGGAGGGACCTGCTATATAGCTAAGGTAAGGCCCTTGTAAACCGTAAGCAGGTGCCAAAATCACACAATTGTGGTCTTAGTCCTAAGGGAAAGTGTGGACAAAACGCGGGAAGCTTTATCAAATGTTTTGTTAACAATATTAACACTTATAGGAAAATATAGGTAGCCATACCTAGCAAAAGACGGAAGAAAAAAAAATCAACCTTTTGCCTATGGTGTATATATCGGTTTGTAGAGGTGGTGGAGATTAGATAAAAACCAACGGAAGACCTTTGAAAAGTCTAACCATTTGATGACACATACGGAAAAAAGACGTTGAAAGCATTTGACCTGCTATCTAGAGTGGCACTTTAATTCTTGACAGATTTATTTCTCGTTGGTTACATGACTAGTTTGAATAGATTTGAAACGTATCAGACGTTTAAGTTTATCATTGTCAAATGGAAGGGTATATAAAGACGGATCATTGTATCATATCATCCATAAATGCTACTAAATGATAATTCATAAAGAGTGCGCACCTGTTATTTTGTGAACAGATTTTCCCTGCGTGTGCTAAAGAGGTTGTAACTATTGCATTTCTTGCCTTTTCATAACCTCATTTTGCTTAGATGAAATATTGTTTATTTCAAACATTTCCTGTATACAAAGTCCATAATCTAAACAATGGATTCAGAAAAAGTGATCAATGCGCTTTTATAAATCCAAACACAAAGGATCTTATCTTAACAAATTGACACACTAAATATACCTTAGAGATAAAACACTGATTTGGAGTAGATAAAACTAAATGGAATGGCAAATGGATACCTACAAGACCGATTGATCCTATGCTACCATGTTGTTTTAATCAAGAAATATTTATCAAAGTATACATTTAAGATAAAATATTGAAGGTAAAGTCATCATGTGCTTAAGATTATTGCGTATATTGTACATATACATAAGCTACAATGAGAAGTTGAACACTCAGTCTTATGTATGTATGTATGTATGTATGTATGTATGTATGTATGTATGTATGTATGTATGTATGTATGTATGTATGTATGTATGTATGTATGTATGAATGTATGTATGTATGTATGTATGTATGTATGTATGTATGTATGTATGTATGTATGTATGTATGTATGTATGTATGTATGTATGTATGTATGTATGTATGTATGTATGTATGTATGTATGTATATATATATATATATATATATATATATATATATATATATATATATATATATATATTTATTTATATATAGAGAGAGAGATAGATAGATAGATAGATAGATAGATAGATAGATAGATAGATAGATAGATAGATAGATAGATAGATAGATAGATAGATAGATAGATAGATAGATAGATAGATAGATGTTTATGTTCTGTTTTATTTTATATTTGTGCGGGTATTTGTCTATGAAAGAAAAACTGACAATTAACAGTGCAAACCTGGTGTCAAT